TACACCCAGCAGCGCTGCTGATGCCTGAACGGTATGTGGAATGAAGTGGACGGGCATCGGGAGGCCACTATGGCACGGGGCAAGCACTATGGGCAGTCTATCTGAAGTGTACCTGGCGTATAAGACGACCCCCCACTTGGAGGCATATTTTTCAGGGCCAAAAAATCGTCTTATACGCCGGCAAATACGGTAGTTCTATTAGTATTGCCAAAGTTAATTGTTCATTTTGGGATGTCAAGGCAGAAGAAAGTCACTCCTTTGTTTTCCCATTCGTTCAAGTTGAAAAGTATGACATTATTATCAGGTTAGATTGCTTCTCTCTTTTTTTAAAATAAAAATATTTTTATTGATTTCAGAAAGTAAAGGAGAGGGAGGGAGAGAGGGAGAGAGAGAGAGATAATCATTGATCGATTGCCTCCTGTGTGCATTGCGCCCGCAATCTGGGCATGTGCCCTTGACCAAAATCGAACCTGGAACCCTTCAGTCCGCAGGCTGACGCTCTATCTGCAAGCCAAACCAGCTAGGGTTAAATTGCTTCTCTTTGCTCACTAGTACTTGCCTGGTATTGGCCAGTGTATTTTGACTTAGAGTTGACACTAGTTTGGAAATACAGGTACAGTCATGCAAGAGACAATATGATGAGAATTAAAAAAAATTAGAGAATTGGGGCCAGTGAGTAATAGATGAGGAAAACATCCTCCAGCAATTGAGGAGTTGAGTTCCTTCTCCACTCCTCTTTTCTACTTAATAAGTAAAATGCAAAGCCTGAGGGCATTTGGCCTCTAGTAGAGGAAGTGAAGAGGTTTTGAATTGTTACAGAAAAAAGGTGATCTGGGTGGAGTAATGTGAACCTGGCACAGTATTTGAGCTTTGCTTTTGCTTCATTAAAAACACCTGTCATTATGTTTTATAGATTATAATAACGAAGATGAATTTGGAAGAAAGTTGAGGTTCCTCTTGCAACAGCTTCCACCTGTTAATTACAGTTTGTTAAAGTTTCTGTGTAGATTTTTAGCCAATGTAGCATCACATCATGAAGAAATTTGGTCTGCAAACTCTTTGGCTGCTGTCTTTGGTCCAGATGTCTTCCAGTAAGTTTTTAATAATTTTTGTTTAATTAAAAAAAACCCCCGAGTTTGTGGAATAGAATCATTATGCTGTCTCCCAAGGATCATAGGTTGCTTGATGGACCATTATTTTTTATACTAGAGCTGCTTAATCTTCCTAGCATTTTTTTGGACAGGATACAAATTAAGTAGGGTTTACAGATGGGAAAACTGAGGCACAGAATGATGACATTGCTCAAGATTATGAAATGATTCATTGGTTGTCTTCTGACTTTACCTGTGATTGATTTAAGAACTCTCAATTCAATTTGGATTTTTATTCTTAGCATTTACACAGATGTGGAAGATCTGAAAGAGCAAGAAATAGTGAGCAGGATAATGGCTGGACTTCTGGAAAATTACTATGAGTTTTTTGAAAATGAAGAGGAAGACTTTTCATCTAATGATTTGAGTTCAATTACTGAACAGGTGAGAATATTTTACATATTCTACTTGGAGGAAGAATTTTTTAAAAAAGAATTGCTCTCAAGGGCTTGGTACAAACTTTGGTGGAATTTTTAAGTACTAAATTGGAAGACATGCTCTTGGTTATTATATGGAATCATCTACATCCAAGTAATAGCTGAATGTGATATTATTTTTAAACAACTTGTCCTCAATTTGGATAATATGGGAAAGGCATTGAAACCAGAATATATGGTAGAGATTTTGTATGTTTATTTCTTCTATGTGTTTTTTCTTCTGTTAACTTAAGCTTTGTGTATTTTGTAAGAATAGTGTGTGTGTGTGTGTGTGTGTGTGGGTGTGGGTGTGGGTGTGGGTGTGTGTGTGTGTTGTTGAAGAATTGCTATCATAGAGGAATGTAGGCAGAGGGTAAGAAGTAGAAGGTAGAGGGAAAGATTCAGTACAAAGTTCATGCAAACTCTTAAGCAAATAAAGTGTTTCTTAGTTAAAGTAGCAACTCAGTATAGCAGTGCAATCATTGTCATTAATGAGAAACATTAGAGTAAGTTTAGGTTGCAAGTAATTTTTTAACTCTTGTTTGTAACTTTTGAAGCAAGTTTGTCTAGTGCTCTCTTCTTTTTGAGTTTCACCCTATTAATCTAACTATTTGGCTATTAGAATCTTTTAACGTAGTAGATATTTTTAGTAATAGTATGAGAGAGAGACTGGATATGATGAATGGTGTGTTTGAAAAATGGCCCAGAGTCAGTAGACATGGGGTCCTTAAAGGAATGTGAATGCAGTAGAATGGTTTGAAGATGTAGGTGATAATTATGTTTCTGTATACATTTGAGAAGGCAGGTAGCAGCATTCTCCACAAGCTGGAGTGTGGAGAGCAGGCATTACACAAGACCCTAGAGAGGGGAATTATAGCAGTCAAAGAAAGAAGAGATGGAGGTATGGATGAGGGTTTTCTTTAAGTGGAGTTGAGGTAGCTGCATATATATAGGGCAGGTTCAGAATAACTTATGAACAGAATAGACTGTTGATAAGTGGAAGGTCAAATTGACAAGGAGAGAATCAGAAGAACTTTTGAAGATAAATGGGTGAGAGAGAGCATTTTTATTTAAGGTTTTAATGTTTACTCTTACCCAAACTAATATAATCAATTCTTTTTTTTAAGTCTCTTTTTATTTATTTATTTCAGCTGTGTGTGTGTGAACCCCTACCCAAGGATATTTTCCCATTGATTTTTTTGGTCCTAGGAAATGAAGTAAAAAATGAGTTGTGTTTAAAATTTTCTTAGAATAGTACATCTTAGGTAATGTTAATTAATAGTTTCATGAAATTTTCTTTTTTGTTCTTTTCTAGTTTCATCAAATTTTAATTCTCTGTTTCTTTTTATATAGGTTAATGAACTTTCTGAGGAAGAAGAGGAAGATGAAAAGCTGGAACATATAGAAGAACTTCCAGAAGAAGGAGCAGAAAAATCAAATGACATGCCAGAGGTGGTACAATTAAGGATGACTGAAAACATCCTGGAAGCAAATAGTGTTACAGCATCAACAAGGTAGTATTTCATTTGAAAGAACTTTAGCTTTTGAGCATTTTATTCTAGAAGTAGATTCACTCAACCACTAAATCAAACAAGAAAAACTTAAAGTAATCTTGCTAAGAAATTTTTAGTTATAACATAGGTACCTTTCTTTTTAAATACAATCTCTTACATATATTTCTTTTTAAAAACGCAAATTTATTTATTTTTGTTAATCCTCACCTGAGGATTCTTTTTTTCCACTGATTTTTTTTTTTAGAGCGATTGGAAGGGAGGGAGGGGGAGAGAGAGAGTTCCTCACCTGAGGATTCTTTTTTTCCACTGATTTTTTTTTTAGAGCGATTGGAAGGGAGGGAGGGGGAGAGAGAGAGAGAGAGAGAGAGAGAGAGAGAGAGAGAAAGAGAAATCCATATGAGAAAGACATCCATTGGTTGCTTCCTGCACATGCCCCAACCAGGGCCAGGGATTGAGCCTGCAACCAAGGTATATGCTCTTGACCGGAATCAAACCCAGAATCCTTCAGTCTGAGAGCTGACACTAACCACTTAGCAAAAAATGGCCAGGTTTTGCCTTTTCTGTTTTTTGCTTGAGAACATCCTCTGAGTAATAGCAAATACTATTACTCTGGCAAGGCGTATAGTGCTGGTATTGAGATCATCATACTATCCTACATGGGGTACTTTTATTGGGCAGTAGTCAACTTTTCCTCCTTAAGATTTGGAATAAGTCAGTGTTTCTCTAAGTGAGTATCAGATGAAGTAGCTGGCATCATCTCTCCCCCCGCCACACACACACACACACACACACACACACACACACACTCACGAGGGAGAATGTTTTTAAGGGTCTTTTTTTGTGTGAAAAAGTAATTTCTTTAGAAAATTAGCGTCATACTCTGCTAGAGATGAACATAAAACTAACTACTACATGCTTTTCTGGTTGTTTCAAGGTAGTACAAATGTGGCAGTTTTCAGCATATTTTGTAGTCATTTAGTATTTTAAAGTTTTATAGCTAATTTCTTTCTTTGATTACAGTGCCCATATATCTCCCACCAGCATCTTACCAGCCTCTGCAGAGTAAGTAGTATACTTATAGAAGACAATTTAAAAGTTAAAAAAAAATATTGCTGAATTGTAGAAATGAAAATCATGTATTTATTGTGCTTCCTTTAGAGGAAGGATTGTACATAACACAGTGAAACTAGTTAGTAGTTTATGTACTGTAGTAGAAACAAATGAAGAAGGCACTAAGATTGAAAACTGTTAGAGCTTTTTTATTATTTTCTTGAAGAAGTAGACTTTGGCCCTAACCAGGTAAGCTCAGTTGGTTAGAGCATCATCCGATACGCCAAGTTTGCAGGTTCAATCCCCATTCAGAGAACATACAGGAATCAGCCAATGAGTGCATAAATAAGTGGAACAACAAATCAGTGTATAAAATAAAAAGAAAAAAAAAGAAATAGACTTCACGTAAAAAATAGGAACAATAACCTTACATTTTCTTTCTTTTATTTAACTGAGCATGGTAAATTATTTTGTTTACAAACATAGTTTTGAAAAGTCTATTTAAGTGACTATATAATAGTGAGGATGATTGACACTGGTCCTTCCCACCTCTGTAGTAATAGTGACATTATAATTGATTTGTATAATATCTATTTGGGCAGATTTCATTATAGAATTTGATCTTGTGTTGTGTATTCCTTGTATGTATTTCTTTTTACACTCTAGCTTACTCATTTAAAATTCATGATAATTTGTTTTACTGGTCATAGTTAACATTTATGTTTATGTAGTGAAATATGCAGTTAGGATGACTGTGTCTCACTAAAATGTGTTCTGTTTTGTAGCATTTTAGACAGAACAATTAGAACAACTGTGGAACAGCACCTTTTTGATCTGCAGAGCAGCATAGATCAGGATCTTAATTTACAACAGCAAAGTCTGGTGTGTAATAATGAAGCAGGAAGTATTAATTGTGATGGGGAAGGATCTAATAACCAGTAAGAAACTTTTAAAAACATTTTACTGCTATTATGAGTTATAAAATTGTTTTGTTATCATTGAAAAACCTTTACTTTTATTTAAATAATGGGGTCTCATCTTAGAGATTTCTGGAACTTTGTGTGAGAAGTGACTTTTGTATGTACTTGTATGTAAATTATCTATACTAGTATATATAAAAACCTAAGTGATCGTTATGATGGAATGACCAATTGCTATGACATGCACTGACCACCAGAGGGCAGATGCTCAAAGCAGGAGCTGCCCACAGCCTGCAGGCCCTGGTTGCCGAGCTCGCTCTCACTCCCCCGCTACCCTCCCCCAGGGTGCCAGGGCTCGCGCACTGGGGAAGCCTTTGCTCAGGTGCTGGGCGCCTGCGAGTAACCCGCCCCGCACCCGTGCAGCCTCTTCTGGGTGAGCCGGGCCACAGCTGCTAGGACCACAGCTGCCAGGACCATGGGCTCCCCGTGGTTTTGCGCAGGAACTGATCTGCGAGGCCTGGTGGGAAAGAGCGCACTGCCCGCCTGGCTTCCGTGCGGCGCCGCTGGGCGGCCCAGAGGCCCACACTGCACCCCAGCCTGTGGTGTCCAACCATGCTCACCGCATCTCTGCGTGGGGACTCGGGCGCCGTGATTCAGGAGGAGGGAGTGGGGGTCCAGGTGCTGCCCAGGGCCCAGAGGTTAGCTGGGACCTGCCCTTCCACGCCAGATGCTCATGCTTTGATCGCCAACCAGGCCTAGGGACCGCATGTGTGCACGAATTTTGTGCACCGGGTCTCTAGTGTTATATATACATGTATGTACATAGAAAAACCTGAAATTGTTTATTAAGCCCAACACAGCCAGGTTTTCCTCCCAGAACATCAGATAAAGTAGTTAGCTTACCTTTATAGACTGTTATATAAAAAATACTTCTAAAAGTTAGATTTCTGTGCAACAGGGTCACACCAGGAGAAACAAGCAGAGATCTAGACTGATAGGTTACAGGGACAGGAGAATATCACTCCTGGTGCATGTGATCATTGAATGACATGGTGAGCAGAATCATCTTTTCCTGTTTAAATTGTTATCCCCTGCCACTAGCCTCCTTTCTCCTTACATGGTTTTTGTGTTTTGTTTTGCTCTTTCCTTAAGAGTAGCCATTGTTAGTTGAATTTACATAAGTTAAAGTACCTCTGTGTACTGTGTTATGTGATGTAACTCCATTCTTTTTTTTTTTTTTTAAGCCAATCTACTTTTATTGCCAGGGTTTTCCACTTATACTTGACTGCATTTCTTTTTTTTATTTTTTTTTATATATTTTATTGAGTTTTTACAGAGAGGAAAGGAGAGAGATAGTCAGAAACATCGATGAGAGAGAAACATTGACCAGCTGCCTCCTGTACACTCCCCACTGGGGATGTGCCCGCAACCCAGGTACATGCCCTTGACCGGAATCGAACCTGGGACCTTTCAGTCCGCAGGCCGACGCTCTATCCACTGAGCCAAACCAGTTTCGGCTAACTCCATTCTTTAATATGACTTGTTACCTTTAAATGAATGAATGTCCATCAATCCACTCTCTCTTTATCCTGTCAAGTTTCATTAAATGCACTGTTTATTTTTGTCTCTCCATGGGATGTTGTAAGGAATCTACCTTGGTTGGCGGCTGCCCAGCTGCCCAGGGCTGGCCCGAGGTGCAGGCAAGGCTTGGATGGTGGCTGCCCAGCCACCCAGGGCCGGCCCAAAGAGCAGGCAAACCTCGGATGGCAGCTGCCTGGCTGCCCAGGGCCGCCCAAGGTTCAGGTAACCAGGGCCGGCTGAGGCTTGCACTGTTGGCAGTGGCAGCAGCAGAGGTGTGATGGGCGTTGCCTTCCCCTGATCACTGGGTCACCTCTCACCAGTGAGGGCTCCCGGACTGTGAGAAGGGGCAGGCCGGGCTGAGGGACCCCCTGCCAGTGCATGAATTTTCATGCACTGGGCCTCTAGTATTGTATAACTGCAGGTGTGTCATGTAGCTTGCATGAATGGCATCACCAGCCTGTGCAGCTCTTAAGCAATGGCCCTGGTTTGTCTCCTTTTAAGGCATGATTAGAACTGATAGAACTGCCCTAGCCATTTGGGTTGAGTGGATAGAGTGCTGGCCTGCAGACTAAAGGGTCCTGGGTTTGATTCTGGTAAAGGGTACAGTAAAGGTTGCAGGCTTTTATATGGCCTGGGCCCTGCCCGGGGCTTGTGCATGAGGCAGCCAATCGATGTGTTTCTCTCTGTCTTACTTTCTCTCTTCCAGACTCCCTAAAAATCAATGGAAAAATATTCTCTGGCGAGGATTAAGGAAAAAACAAAAGAATTGATAGAACTGGATCTAGAGGGAGTATTTGGGCTGAATATGAAGGGAAAAAACAGTATTTAAAAGTTGGAAAAAGTGGGAAAATGTTTCAAAAGATGTTATATAAGCAGGTTCCTTAGAGTTTGCCCTTAGCTTGACTAGAGATGTTGAAAACCTATGCCCATGCTTAGACAGTATTCTTATTTCTACAACTGGGGACAGTATTCTTATTTTTACCACTCATGTTCTCTCAGTAGTGGTATTGTCTTTGTAAACAAAAACCTGCAGAGTTTTGTATATTCTAAATTATGTAAGATGGGAAATCTGCAGTAGGAAGCTATTCCTGTTGTACTTGATAAAGTGTTGGACGCTACGGTGTCTAGTGCTAGATTTGTATTTTATTATGTATTATTTTTATTTTTAAAAAATATATCTTTATTGATTTCAGAGAGGAAGGGAGAGGCGGGGGGTGGGGAGAGAGAGAGAGAGAGAGAGAGAGAGAGAGAGAGAGAGAGAGAAACGTCAATGATGAGAATCATTGATGTGTATTTTAATTAAACAAATAGGTCATTATTATGATTGAGAGTGGATATTTTTAAGGAAAATTGTTATTTTAGTACATAAATGAATTTTAAAGCCATTCATCTTGTTTTTTGTAAAAAATCCTCATCTGAGGACATTTTCATTGATTTTTAGAGAGAGGGGAAAGGAGGTAGAGAGAAAGGGAGAGAAACATCGATTCATTGCTTCTGGGGCTGGGGATAGGACCTACAACCTAGGTATGTGCCCTGACCAGAAATTGAATCTGTGACGTTTTGGTGCATGAAACAATGCTCCTACCAAATGAACCACCCCTGCCAGGGCACCATTCATTTTTCAAAAGAGTTAACAAATAAGGTAGATTTCTTACAACCTCCCATGGAGAGACAAAAATAAACTTAATGCATTTAATGAAACTTGGCAGGATAAAGAGAGAGTGGATTTTTATGAAAAGGGTGTATTTTCTTTAATAAGTAAAAGTTTCAGATCATTGTTTATTTTAAAGGCATTACGTATTCAACATTTGACCTGATCTGATTTTTTAATCATCATTTCTAGGGTTGATATTGCTGATGATATTATTAATGCCAGTGAAAGAAGCAGAGACTGCTCAGAACCTGTGGCCAGCGCTAATTTAGACAATGAAGTTATGCAGCAAGATTTTGTATTTGATGATGAAGAAAATAACCAGGTAAGAAATGCAAAGCCTTAAAAAAATCTGTTGGGTGTGCTAAACATACAATTCTGATTGTTTCATGTATTCCTTTGACAGCAGAAGCCATAGTTCACTATCTTTTCTAACCCACGTATATATTTTGATTCAAGGAACACACATTTTTTTAGTAGTGGTGAGGAACCATTATTGGGTAGAGAAGTAGGTATAAAATGCCTTATTTTAAATTAGAGGCCTGGTGCATGAAATTTGTGCACTGGGGAGGGGGTGGGGGGAATGTCCCCTCATCCCAGCCTGGCCCCTCTCCAATCCGGGACCCCTTGACGGATGTCCCTGGGATCAGGCCTAAACCGGCAGTGGGATATCCCTCTCACAATCCTGGACCGCTGGCTCCTATTTGCTCACCTGCCTGACTGCCTGGTCGCCCCTAACTGCCCCCTGCTGCCGGCCAGGTTGCCCCCAACTGCCCCCTCCCTGCTGGCCTGGTTGCCCCGTGCAGCCTGCTTGTTCCGTCGTTTGGTCATCCCTCATTAACCCCCTTGCCGGCCTGGTCATAGACAGCCATCTTGTGAGGGTGTGAGGGTTAATTTGTATATTACCGCTTTATCATATACGATATTTTCTGGAAAGACAAATTATGACGTTAGCTGAGGTGGTTGGTGGTATTGTCCTTAAATTTTGTTCTTTTAAAAGGTTTTATTTTCCAGGTTTTTTTTATGAAGGGCCTTTTTATAATTAGAGAAAACCCGTGAATATAACTTTAAAAATAAATTATTTTCATTGTCACAATTGCTAGTAGTAGCATTGTTTTTAACATAATTTCAATAAATGTACAAAGCGGCATCTTTCTAAGACATGTTTCAAAGCTTACTTTTTGGTGTTGTTAATCCTTACCCGAGGATAAAGATTTTTAAAGAGAGTGGAAGGGAGGGGAGAGACAGTGAGAGAAACATCGATGTGAGAGACATATTGATTGGTTGCCTCCTACATGAGACCCGGCCAGGGCTGAGATACATGCCCTTTGACTGGAATTGAACCCAGAACCCTTCAGCCCATGGGCTGGCGCTCTGTCCACTGAACCAAATTGGCTAGGCTCAAAGTTTAGCTTTGATAACACTTTTTAAGGTAATATACTTAATTGATAAGGAAGTTTTCTTCAGCATGTTTTCATTCTAAACCAAGCATGTTAAACTCACGGCCCAGCCAATATAACAGTATGGAAGAAACATTTTAATAAAAATTTTGTAACTTAATTTTTACAATATCCTGTTATACATAATTATTAATAATGAACTACAATGTTCGCTAATGACTGATTACTATAATTGTGTTGCATTCATTTCCCTTACGTGCCTTACGCACAGGCACACCATTTCTCTCCACTAATACTAGCAGCAAATATTTTAGCAGCCGATGGCCACATCATTAGTCTTGGACTGACTTGTTTGGTGTGCACAACAGCAAATATTTCGCTTTTGGAGAACAAGAAAAATAGGTTTATTTGTGTTACACTTGTTCATTTGTGCAGTTATTCAGTGTCTGGTAAGTTAATGTTCAAGAAAAAATATTAATTTTTATTAAAATTTTCTGTTATTTTATGTTAACAATTACTCATTTTATTTCAGCCCTTTGTATCCAGCATGTCTCTATCAAAGTAAACCTATGTTTCTATGAAAATTGAAGGTTTTGTTTTTTTGTGGCCCACATAAACTTTAAACCTTGTTTATTTGGCCTATGTTAGCCTTTGAGTTTGACATGCTTGTTCTAAACCATAAACCAAAGTAGGTATAATAAATTTAGAGTCAGGCAATTGAGATTTGTATTCTGACTTCACCTCTTCATAGCAGTGTGACTTTAGTAAGTCACCTAAATTCTCTGAGCTTCTTTTTTTTCTTTTCTATAGATAAGGGGGGAGAGGGGAGGGGTTAATACCAATGTTAGAGAATTATTTTAAATATGGAAAGAAGTAAAAGTATAAAATTATGTTATAAATTGGAAAACATTTCACAGTATTTAAGCTGCTGCTGTTACTACTGACTGGACTTGTATATTGCTTGTGTATTAATGCTATTTACCCTGGTATATTAGATTAATTCCTTATCCTCTATTCATGGTTTTTGCTTCTGAGGTTGTCTTCTTACCCTTTCCTGGACTATTAATTTCTGCCTGCCTCCTGGATCATTTCCGTTAAGATATTTATGTTATTATTTCTTTCATGTGTAGTATGAAAAAAACACACCCTCTTTTCACCTTTATCCCAGTCTAGTGACAACCCTTTTTTCCTGCTTCTTTTTGATAATCCTCACCTGAGGATATATTTTCCATTGATTTTATTATTTTTTTTTAGAGAATTTTGGGAAGGAGGGAAGGAGCAGGGGGGAGAGAGAGAGAGAGAGGGAGGGAGAAAAACATGTATGTGAGACACATTGATTGGTTGTCTCCCGCATGTATCCTGACTAGGGATTGAACCTGCAACCCAGGTAGGTGCCCTTGACTGGGAGTCGAACTGGTGACCCTTTGGTGCATGGACCGACACTCTAACCATAGAGCACACCAGCCAGGGCTCTACAGATTTTAAGATACAATTTTTACATATTTGTCTTTTGAAAAAGCGATATATTCAGATAGTAAAAAATTTAGTTACAAAAGGATATATAGAAAAGTCACCTCCCTATTCTCATCTATCCATTTTAATTTCTCCTCCATCATACTGACATAAAATAAAACTATTAAAAAAAACCCAAACTGTCCTATCCAAATAAATGCTACAGTGAATAGCCTCAGAATTAACCATTTCACCTTATACAAGCTTACCTTAGGATAAATTTATAGAAGAAGAATTTTGGGTCATAAAATACATGCATTTGTAATATTACTATATATTGCCAAATGGCCCTCCATTGAACCAATTTACACTATCAATTAACAATGCATAGTAGTACCTATTTCATGGTGCCTTCACCAATAGCAGATTTTTTTTTAATCTTTATTGTTGAAAGTATTACATAGGTCTTCCTTTTCCCCCCATAAACCTCTTCCAGCAGATTTTTTAAATTACAGCCTATTATGGGAAACTTGAACATTGTAATTTTCATTAACATTTTTTTTTCAGAGGGGTGGGGGGTAAGGCAGGGTGGGTGGGATGGGAAAGAAGGGGGAACGGGGCTCATTAACATTTCTTTTTAATTATTTTTATTTATTGGTTTTAGAGAGAGGAAGGTAGAGCTAGGATTTAATTTGGTTCTTTGAGTAAAACACCAGGTCTCGTTTTAAATATTTGGTCTGGGTAATGGTTATTTCATGTACCCAGAAAGTTTCATATTTAAGAATGAAGCTACTATATTCTAGAGCAAGAGTAGGGAATCTATTTTCTGCCAAGGGCCATTTGGATATTTATAACATCATTTGAGGGCCAAATAAAATTATCAATTTAAAAATTAGCCTGCTATATTTGGTCAAAAATTTAATTAACTCACCCTTACTGTCTTGTCAGGGCCACATCAAATGATCTCATGTTTTAGAAAATGAAGGTTGCTGAAGTCTATTTCTAGACCAGTGCTTCTCATACTTTGTATCTCAGGACCTCTTTATATTCTTAAACTAGAGGCCCCGGTGCATGGATTAGTGTACCGGTGGGGTCCCTTGGCCTGGCCTGCGGGGATTAGGCCAAATCGGCTTTCCGACATTCCCTGAGGGATCCTGGATGTGAGAGGGCACAGGCCAAGCCAAGGGACCCCACTGGCCTCTAGTATGCATATAAGATCTTTGGTTAATCTCTTCCTGCCCTCCCCCCTTCTCCCCCTGAGATTCATCAGTCTGTTCCATGTTTCCATGCCTGTGGTTTCTGCTCCTACATTGTGTCTGCCCCCTGATGGTCAGTGTGTGTCATAGCTACCGGCCATCCAATCACTTAGGCTTTTATCTATACAGACTAGGGGCCCAGTGCACAAATTTGTGCACCTTGAAAGGAACTGTGGGCCACGAGGCTGTGGTGGGCACAGGGGCGGGTCTTGGCCCATACTCTGTGTCCCCGCCCACCCCCTCACAGTGGCCCCCGATTGCCCCTCAGGAGCAGGGGCAGGTGGAGAAGCCCTCAGGGATGATCAGGGCCAGCAGCCGCTGCTTGCACCCGCTGACAGCACTGAGTGATCAGGACCGGTGCTGGGTGCCAGCAGTGGGTGTGAGTGGTAGCTCCAGCGCCAGCTGCGGGTGCAAGTGGGGTTGGCGCCGGCAGTGGGTGTGAGCAGCAGCTCTGGCGCCGGAAGCTGGTGTGAGAGGTGGTTGCCGGTCCGGATCGCCCCTCAGGAACAGGGGCGGGTGGAGAAGCCCTGAGGGGCAATCAATGCCAGCAGCTGCCGCTCACACCCACTGACTGTGCTGAGCGATTGGTGCCGGGCACCGGCAGCGGCTGCGAGTGGTGGCTCTAGTGCCGGCAGTGGGTACAAGTGAGGCCAGTGCCAGCAGCAGGTGCGAGCACCAGGCGGGATTGTGGTGTGCGGGAGCAAAGAATTTTCAGTAGGCTTGCCCTGCCAGAGGCTTGCCCTGATGACAGTGACTGGCGCGGTACCCCACCTTGGTCTGGTGCCCCTGCTCACCTGTTCCACCATCCCACCATGGCTGACGCCTGCCATGTTCTGTGCTCTGCCGCCTGCTGCCGATGCCTGCCATGTTCCACCCATGCCCCCTGGTGGTGAGTGCATGTCACAGCAACCAGTTGTTCTGCCGTTCGGTCTATTTGCATATTAGGGTTTTATAGATATAGAGGTTATTGAGGATCCTTGCCCTGGACTGTTCGCTCAGTCGTTAGAGCGTTGACCTGAGGATCGAAGGGTCGAGGACTTGATTCCTGGTCAAGGACACGTACCTAGGTTGCAGGTTCAATCCCCGCCCTAGGTTGGGGTGTGTGTAGGAGGCAATCAATTGATATGTCTCTCTCACGTTGATGTTTCCCCCCTCCCCCCTCCATTCTCTAATTATCAATGGAAAAAAAATATCCTCTAGTAAGGATTAACAACAACAACAAAAAGTTATTGAGGATCCCATAAAAGTATTATTTACATAGATATATTTATCAGTTTTACTATATTAGAAATTAAAACAGAACTATAAAAATGTTTCTTAACTCAAATAAAACAATAATACACTCATTCAAGGTAACATAAATAAGGTTGCTTTTTTTTCTTAATAAAAAGCGGCTATTTAAAATTTTTTTATTTTGAGGAGTGTCGTGGTTGTTGCTATTGATTCTTTTGTATGAAGTGTATGAAGACAATTTAGCTTTACAGAGATAAGTAGATGGAAAAGGGAGAAGTATTTTAATAGCTCTTTCAGATAATTATGGACTGTCTTTCATATTAAACAAAATTGGGTCAGTTTCTTAGCCAGTCAGAGAAAGACAAATATCACATTATCTCACTCATTTATGGAATATAATGAACAACATAAACTGATGAACAAAAACAGATCCAGAGACAGAGAATCATTGATCAGAACGTCAAACCTCAGAGGGAAGGTAGGGGAGGGTGGGGGTAAGGGGGAGAAACCTACCAAAGGACTTGTATGCATGCATATAAGCCTAACCAATGAACACAGACAACAGGGGAGTGAGGGCATGAGTGGGGAGGGGGTAATGAGGGGATAAGGACACAAATATAATGCCTTAATCAATAAATTTAAAAAAACAAATGAAAAGAAAAAGAATCTTGAATTGAACCCTTTGTTGATTTCAGAGGTAGTGATAAACACTAAGAAGTTTACATAATTTGTGGTAATGCACAGGACATTTGTGTTAGACTTGGTAGGTATTTATTATGGGGAGTAATAGGAATGGGATGGTGTCACTAAGCCCATTAAAAAATGGAGGAGTGTTCTTACGTGTTTTGAGATTCACAGTTGTTATTTCAAATAAAAGGATCTCGTGAACTACATGACCTCTCTGTCACCTGCTAAGAAGTTACCAACTTCTGTTTGTGAGTCAGGAGAAGCAGAGTTTGCAAGTGGGACACAAAACAATCTTTTTTGGAGGAGAGAATTATAAGGAAGGAAAAAGAATGTGATAGTGGTAGTAGTACCTATTACATAATAAGGTAGTGAGCTAAAGAGGGGCATTTGACTAACTTGTGATCTACTTCTCTAAGATTGGGAACTTCCTCTCATATATGAGTATTAGGAGCTCCATTAATACAGTAGTGGTGTTCTTTTTATCAGTCTGTAGGTATACTGTTAGAGCCATGTGGTGACCATGGTGATAGTGAAGATGGCTGTCTTGAGAGGTAAGCATTTTCTCTTATTGTTGTTAATTAATGAATCATTTTGAGATTACGGGTTCTTAAATTTATGGGTGGAATTTTTCGATGACTCTTTTGTAGCATATATTTTAGATAATCTAAAGAACCAAGCTTCTTATTTTAATGGTAAGCATAAAGCTGATTAAATTCAAAGGGGTGTAGGTTTAGACAGTTAAAACTTGGAAAACATTCAGGGGGATGAACACAGCCACATTAGAGACACTTAAAACTTGCAGTTCGTTTGTAGAACAATTAGGAATTTATTGATACTCTGAATATACCTTTCAGTGTATCATAGTCTTGGAACTATGCATGACTAACTGAAAGATTGTAGTATATTTGCTTCAACAAATATGTATAGGATGTTTTTGTTCCTCTTCTCCTTGGTATGTCCCAGGACTGTCTCTTTATAAAAAAAATTAAATTTATTGAGATAACATCATTAATATATAAGATTCAGGTGTACAACATTATATAATTTGATATCTGTATACCGACATTTGACCCACTTTACCTAATTTGCTCTCCCCACCCTCTTTCCCCTCTGGTAGTCACTGTTTTGTTGTGTCTGTCTATGAGTTTGTTTTAGCTCGTTATGTTAGTTTGTTTGAATTATATTTTTTAGGGGATCTTTTTCGTCTGACTTACTTCACTTTGCATAATCATCTAATGCAGTTAATGCTTGTTTCCCCCCTTGTTTATCAGCAGTAATGGGAAGGGGATTCCTTGCAGCAGTGAATATTTAAGCCATATGTAGTCCGTATACAATGGAGACTCTAATACTCAATAGATAGAGTCTCTTTGACCAGAAAGAAGTTTTCTAGAATGTTTTAAGTCACCACGTAGGTTTTAGATTTTGTTTCCCTTTTTGTGATTCTTTAAGATGTTGCTAAGAAGTGTATTGTAACTTTCTTAGGAAAGATAATTGATATTCTGAAAACAAATCAGTAATAAAGTTGCAGACTAGATTGTAAATACTGAGAAATTCCAAATAGCATTATTAATTTGATGATAGCCAATTGGCAAGGATAAACTTGCGTTAATGCCATTGTCTCTTTTAATTATGAGTAGGAAACCTGTTCCCTGAGGGTAAGTAAATTCTTTGGAGCCATGTCTCTGGAGTGTCCCCATACTCTGAAGGTCCACAGATTTCCTGCTTACAGCAGTTCCTTGTGCTTCCTTTCAGGAGGCAGGAATGATCCTCTTCCAGCCCAGGGAGTATTGGAGCTATGGGCTGAAGATTTAAGATTAACAGCATTGACAGGCATCCCCAGAATGATGACATCTGGATTTGGTAGAACAATAAGGATCCATTTAGTGAGGACTCAATCTTTTTGGAAAAAGCTCTTTCCTCTTCAACTTGTGTATAGGTTAGCAAACTTGTTTTAGATCCAAAGAGTTTCTTGGTTAGGTGGATTTTACATTTTGTATGTTTAACACACATGTTTCTCGAATTTAGTCTGTTAGGGTACAATTTAGCTTATCCCACCACTTGTTCCCATTCTAAGCAAAGGAGGGTCTTTGAGTTTGCCAAGGAATTTAGTTGTTTACATGTTTAGCAAGAATAAGGTAATTAATTAGGTATATGAGGAGATGACTTGCCCTATTTAGATCAAGACCTATTTTCTGAGTGCATACCCTGTTATGGCAGGGTAGAAGTAGCACCTGTGCATATCATTATAAATTGGCATAGTGTCTTTGGGGAGAAGTTTCCCTCAGTAACTATATTTTTACCTACTATGATACTAGGTGCTCTGTTGACAGGTTATATAGGCAGAGATCATTTGTGATAGTTTGCTGTTACACTTGTTCTAAATAGGGGTGGGTTTTTGTGGGGAAATACGAGGTGAATTGAAATAAAATTTCTTATTTACATTTTATCATAATTTTAGGAAGGAGGTTTAGAAGTTTCGATTGTGATAGAACACAATCAGATTTAAGATATAGGTCATAGCTATACCTTTCAAAAATCATCTTTAAAAGAAAAATATATCCTAGAGTGAGGGAATATAGAGCTGTTTGGTTAAAACTAATATTTATTTGACAAAATCTTTTGTATTATACATTCAGTTCTTTTGGTTTCTATTTATTTTGGATTTTCTTTTTTTTAATCCTTACCAGAGGACATGCTTAGAGAGAGGGAGGCAGAGAGAGAGAAACATTGATTGGTTGGTTGCCTTCCACATGTGCTCCATCTGGGGATCAAACCCCCAGCCCAGGCATGTGCCCTGAATGGCAACCCTTTGGTGCACAAAATGACACTCAACCAGCTAAGCCACTCTGGCTGGGCTTATTTTTCTTTTAAGTTTAAAAAAAATTTTGGGGGGTGTGTGTGGTTGTATGGGAAGGTGGTGAGTGTTACTTAATTTTTCTAACCTGAAGTGATTCTGTGGATCTTTTCAGTAGTGTGTGATTTTCAGATATAGGGCTCCAAAGAATGGGAATGTGTCTAGTTGTCATTCTTCTGTCACATTATAAATGCTAACTCTGGGGAAGAGATGAATCTAGGTAAGAAATATGCAATGAATAGTAACCTATTTATTCTTAAAAGAGTAATAATTTTATTTGTATTTTTAGGAAAGAATATTTGTCATTTGACAGTGATAAATTGTCGCACTTAATTCTGGTAAGAATTCTTTTTCTTTTATGGTTCTTAGAAATTTGACTAGGCTTAAGCTACTAATTATTATATCTGGCTTTTAACTTCTGAGTTGTATAGATTTCAAGGGGGTTTAAAATATACTCTTACCAAATGTTTTACAGTTAAAGTAGCACTTATTATGTCACTTTTGGTTACAAGAAACTTAGTTATGAAAATACTTTCCTGAATTTGGGGTCCAAACATTGTTTCCTAATAAGACATATAAAACTGCAAATTTATATTTGAAAGTATTGTGGATGATGGGAGTGGGGCAACTTATTGTATAGGCACAGTAAACTAATGAAGACTACACAGGATATATGCTGGTTGTCTGTCAGCTGGGTATGAAAAGCTTCCTAGATGTGAAATGTATTCTTTATTTTAAAATATAGGACTCTTGTACCAAGATGTGTGATTTGAATGCCAACACTGAATCAGAAGTGCCAGCAGATCAAAGTGGTGTTCAAGGAGAAGCAACATGTGTCCAAATTCCACATTTAGATCTGAAGAATATTTCTGATGGTGATAAATGGGAAGGTAATTTTACTCACACGAATTTTTTTCCTGATAATGTTCTTTGTAAATGAAATTTTCCAAGCAGTTATGAGATAACTGGCCTTTTTCTGGATAATCTTATTGATTTTTATTTTCTGTTCTCTTTTTCATATAAGAAGAGTGAGTGTTTTTACTCAAATGCATTAATGAGATTATGGGGCAACTATCTCTTATGAATAGACAATCTTATCTGATCCATTAGCTTTGAAGATAAATGTTAAAACAGAGTAAAAAATATAACACTCAGAATGGGCTTTTATTAATTGTTAAACTTGATAATATTAACCAGTCTTTAAAATCTAGTATCTTGATGTCTTGGGAATCTCACCATATTAAAGAGGGGACTTATACATAGCTGCCTGTTCTTTATGATCATAAAAAAAAAAGATCTTCAGGGGCATTTCTGTGCAAATACTGTACCATTTCCCTGTTAGGTTTGGTTATGAAGTTTGGGAGCCAGGCCCTAGCAATTTTTATAAAGGAGAGAAGTTAGAATTTAAATTTAAAAACAAGACATCTGGGTACTTGGATTTCATTATATATGAGTTTTTCTTTTTTATCAAAAAAAGCAAAAACTAAATAAATACTGAATTCCAGTGATTGGTTTGCATGTTTATGGGGATATGTGCTAATATTTGCATTTTACTTTGACATTCATGAAAAAATAAGATGGTTAATAGGGTAGATAAGGCAAGTTATAAAGCATGTATAGTCAAATGTTAATGGTGGAATCTAGGTAATTGATACAGGTGTTCATTGTAAAATTCTTTAAACTAGACTGTATATTTGTAAACTTCCAAATAAAATGTTGGGGTGGGAAGCGCTAGCAAGCAACAAATTTGGATCCAGGAGTCCTTTTGGATCATACACCTTCCTTGGTAAAAAGAATTGAGACGACTCAGAAATCTTAAGTAAAGTTACGTATTTGTTCACTTGGATGAAGATCCCTTGGATATCTCACCTTTGGCAAGTTAGCTAATAACATACAGTGGCAATAACGAGAAATTGCAATGCCAATACCAATCCTTTTGCCGCCTTAAGTCAACTCACCTGATCACATTTGGAGTGTTTTATTATTTATTTTTAAGATATAGCCAATTTTTAAAGTCCCAACCAAGTCATTCTCTGTGCCAACTTTAACTGCTGTCTCCCATTCCCCCTCTATTTTTTTTGTTTAGATGTTTTGTATGCAACCCCCCCCCCCCCCCAGGCATATTATGTGTCTTAACTTAAACTGATACACAGATAAGGAAGTTGTCTTTCATTTGCTATATTCTGGGTTATTCAGGATGTTTAGAATTTATGAAGATATTCCCCAGAGTTAGGGGACACGTTGGCATCCTGGTGGCAGTGAAAATCAAATGTCCCTCTTAGTTATTTATCCTGGCATAGTCACTGAAAAGGAATGATGGTCAATAGATCATCCCTCAAGCCACAGTAGGAAAGGAGTCTCTGAAAGATGAGGCTGGGATTCTGACAAAGGACTTAAGCTCCTTCCTCATGGAGAATGCAGCCCTTTACAATCCAATGCTGAAGGTCCTCATCTTAAGTATTAAGCATAAAAGAGCAATTATTTTTCATCATCTGAGGAAATAGGACATTCTCTAGCTTCAGCTTTCTGGGGATTTCCCAAATAGAACCTAATGCTGGGCTCTTTTTTGTTTCTGTGTCAGAATCTACCCCTTAACAGCTGGTGTTATGGAAGGGAGGTAACATATTGATCCCTGATTTTCAGTGCCCAAAGTGCCCTGTCACCACCTGGCTCAATAGCCTTGACAAGTCCCTGCAGTTCTCCTTCTGGCACTTCCAGGAATAGGGTCAGTGATTTTTCAGAAATCTGAGTGAACTTCTCATTCGTGAACCTGTATGTACTTGGAAGAGTGGCCATTAGCACACCATGTTGTTCCTTCCAACTTTGCCAACAACACAAGAATTGATTTTCTGTAAAGTTAGGATATCCTACATAATAAAAGCCTAATATGCTAAGTGTCTGGTCAGCTGGTCAGCTGTTCAACCAATCAAAGTGTAATATGCTAATGATACGCTAAGGCCACGTACACGAATTCGTGCACCAGGCCTCTAGTTCTAAATGTCTTTGTTAAGAGGCTGAATTACTTTAGACCCTAGATACCTTAGAATCAGAGACAAACCTTGTTGAGTGTAACTCTTAATAGAGAAGTGGGGTGACTCCCGATAGAGGTCCACTTTTTCCTATGTGTGAGTTTTCTTTTTTGTATTGCTCCAAGTATAGTCAGTAGAATGCAGTTAGCAAGCAGGTGGCCCATATATACCACTGGTATGCATTTGTAGCAGCTGTTCAAAAGGTCTTGGCTTTTAGTGGAAGTGGATAACATTTTTCCTTCAGATTCTCTCCTGCTAACTCTTGAATGGAAAACAGCAATCAAAGAACAATCAAAGGGCGATTTTTTGTGTGTGTCAAATCAATTATACTGAAAAGCTTCAAACAGTACCTGGTTAAGAGTTTCCATTTCTTTTGTTTTATGTTTGAGTTTTAATAAACAGTACTCTTTGATTTTTTTGCCTTGCTTGCTGAAATGGAAATGTTATGTTTGTGTTTGTTTTTAAAGTTTGGTTAGTAATTTCTTTGGATAAAGTTTTTGAGTGGAATGCCTAACTGGTTTTAGGGTAATATTTTTGGTATCTTTGGCTTGTGTTAGTTATGTGTATGGTTTGTTCTGACTGTGCTGTATGTTCACTTTAGTATTTTTTGCCATTTTTTTCCATTTTATTAGCATCATGCCCTATCACTTTCCCCCTCATTGATTTCAAAACAATGCATCTGCAGAGAGATGGGGAGGGTAAGTATGGTTCACCATAGTTTAGTTTTTATGCCTTTTTATGGTTCACTTTGTTTGCCTTTTTTATTAGCCCTTCTCCTGCTGTCCCCATATGGTTGGAAAACTGATCTGGGTTAAAAATGGTACCCAGAAAAAATTGTTTCTGTTATTTCTATCTTTTCTTAAAATAGGAGATTGCTTGTAAAATGTTTGCCAGTTACTTATATGCTGGGAAGCAGGTACAAGGGGTTGCTTTGAAAATCACTTTATTGCTGGGTTTCTTGTGGAAAGGCACGCTTTGTACCTTTTTAGTGATCAGGTTGATCTTGGCTTTAAAAACTAACAAAATATGTTTTTATTACCCTGGAAAACTATAATGCTTTAAACTGCTAATGCATAAAATTAGAAACTAAATTACTAAAGTAACAATCCTTAGCTATTGAGTGCAGAAAAAGAAAACGTCATTCTTGATTTTTGACAGTCAAACCATCTTTGCATCCCAAAATACTTTAAAACTCATTTTTGTTATTGTTAATAACCATGGCGTAAATTGTAGTTTTAAATAAAGTTAATGTGTAGATAGAAAAGTGAAAAGTGTCTCCCCTTCCCCACAGACTCCAGTAATACTTGAAAGTTAATTTTATATTTGGAGTATATTTATGGACTGTGTATTTATCTCTGTGTTTATATGTAATTAAGCCTTATATATGCAATGATATTAAATATGTCATTGTGGTTTTACTTGAAAACATACAGGGTAACCAATAAAATAAATGTGCTTAGGAAAGATGTGCTATTAAATTATGTCTTGATAATACTGTTGGGTGTTTAATTATTAAAATATATATTGTACATCAGAATCCTGTAACAGAAAATAACCACCACAGTTTAATGTTAGAGGCTAGGTGCTATTAGGTAAGTTAGCTACTCATTTGGAAATGTGAGAATTCATTTGGAGTCAGAGAACTCCATTTGGTGAGTGTTCTGTATAGCTTGGGGAATAGCTTCCACTTCTTTTTTTAATATATTTTATTGATTTTTGAGAGGAACGGAGAAGAGGGATAGAGAGTTAGAAACATCGATGAGAGAGAAATATTGATCAGCTGCCTCCTGCACACCCCCTACTGGGGATGTGCCCACAACCAAGGTACATGCCCTTGACCGGAATCGTACCTGGGACCCTTCAGTCCGCAGGCCGACGCTCTATCCACTGAGCCAAACTGGTCAGGGCTGCACCTCCTTTTACCGTCTCCGCCCAGGTGCACTGGCCATGCCCTGAGGGTCTGGGGAAGGGGAGCTACCATGACATTGAAAGGGATGTTCCTGTGGAAGCCAGCAGACAGGCTTAGGTC